TGATTGAAAAACCTTTTCATCTTTTGATATATGACTGGATGTCAGTCTTCCTTAAAGTAGTATCTTCATCTTTGTTGTTTTATCGCAACATTTGTACTGATGTATTGTTCAGCCTTCCCTGTTTTTTTTTTTTTTTTTTTTTTTTTTTTTTATTATGAATATAAAATGTGTAGGTGCATGGTCAAGTAATTAGAATGTTAGTAAGATAAGATTCTGGTTCAAATCTCACCTTTTTGTCAGAGAGGTGAGTTCTTGATCATATCTTCCTCGGGAGATTATCCCAGCCAGTGGTATCATTGTGAAGTGCCTGATAAGCATACCACAACTTGGCCTAAGTCTTGTGAGGGAAATTGAGTAGACAGAAAAGTTTGTAAGCCATCATGTTTCTGGTAGCACTGTCATTAGTCGTTGTAACTGAGGATGTGGACATAATGGTTGTTCAAATATTGATCTCACCAGATTATGTGCTCTCTTCTAGAAATTGAAACTGAGGTCCATTCTGCATAGTTGCAGTACAATCCACTGGTTGAGCCTGTGGATATTAAAGAAACAAATGTCTACAACAGGGATTAGCTGGCAGATCGGTATGCTTGGATAAGAATGGCCAGCCATACAGATAAAATGTCTCTATACATACACCACATTTAACGTGAATTAAATTTTAGAAAGGTTAGAGAATAAACATTGTAATGTATCGATTTGAAATGACAACTATGAGGATACAGCCCCAAATAATTCAGAATAGTAACAATTTTGCTTTATACAACAGTAATTAATCTTTTTCTTGCTGACCCTAAAAGTTCATTGGGCTTGTCAAATTCCAACATATTTCTAAATACACCCCAATTCTACTTAGTGACCGAGGCACAGACTTCAGTAACAGTATAACCTTGGTTATTAGTTTAGTTGCTAAAAGAATTTAATCATTTCATATTTTCACCATTTAACTTCCATCTAACCAAATGTTCTTTCTTACTCTCTAATGTCATCTTAATTCTTCCTACTATTTTGACGAGTGAAACTACTGTATTTGCTTTTCTTTTTCTTTTTTTTTTTAAATATAAGATGCACTGGTGTATAAGACACATCCTATTTTAAAGAGGTTTTGACAAGTATCTGATGAAAATTGAAATATCAACTATGCGATTACCAACATTAAGTACTCTGGTTGGTAATGTTTAGTTCACATTTGAAATCCATACTATTACAAGTAAGACATTCAGTTGATCTAAACCATTCCTATTTAAATATAAATGATAAAAATATACTGTATATATTCACATATCATGTGAATTTTGAAGACCTAATTTAGAAGCTAATTTGACTACAGTAAATGGATATATATCTTGGTCAATGGCATAGCCAGGGCCAGCAATACATATGCTAATTTTATATCTTATTTATGATGCAAACCCCTCCTTAAAATTAGCTTCAAAATGAGATCTTCAAAAAGTCACATGATATGTGAGTATGTATGGTAGTTTTATGGTGCTACAGTGTAACCCGGATATAAGAGATTTTCTCTGGTCCCAAATTAGAGCCTGTGTTAATGTATATAAAATAGACCAAACCCGGATATAAGAGAAACCCGGATATAAGAGACTTCTTCTCCGGCCCCGACAACTCTCTTATATCCGGGTTACACTCTATATGGATTAAAGTGCTTGATATTGGGGTCAGTGTATGTAAATATAGAAGTAAGCATTGAGACCAACACCCAGTGGCGACAGTCTGTTTCATGCTTAAATACAATTGATTGTATCTAAACATAAAACAAACTTCTGCCAGTGTGTGTTGGCCTCAACAGCCAGTTACATATGACTTGTGCATATCACACACATGCACATATGTTTACTAAAAACTTTGTATATGATGCAAGCGGATTTTAAGGTAAAAACAAAAGTCTTGTACACTGAAAAATACAGTCTTTTAGCAAAATTAATTGTAAATGACATTGAATTATACAGTAAGTCACTATTTAGGCTATTTGTGATATCATTTTATGATAGAAATGCACTGAAAATCTGGAAAACAATTCGGTGATCTGGAACAAATGCAAACATTGCTGATAGAGTAGGACATGATCTGCCCAAAAGCAAATACTCTGATCTTTGAATATCTATACAGATTATATATTGGTACAGAGTGAGACAGAGAGGACAGACATATTTCTGAGTAATAGCAATTTCAAAAAAGTCCATCCTTTCTATCTCACTCTGTATTTGGGTGGACCACCAAAAATTTATATGACCAGAGCCTAGCAGCTGATTTCTCCTCTGACCCAGCTCTAACAGCTCTGGGGGAAGAACTGGCTGGTTACATTCAATACCTCAAGAGCCAAACTAATATTATCACCAAGTGGACCTGCACTATCATGTTGAGTTGTTGTCCTCTCAAGGGAGCTTCCAACCTTGAAAGCCTATTGGAACTTAAGCTCACCCAAGAACCTTGTACATACAATTCATCACTAAAGATGCTAGAAAAATGGTTGGTACCATGTACAGCTCAATAAGTACCCAACACCACCTCTTATGTTCTACCTTTACCTGATCAGATCAAAAACACCTGGGCTAGAGCTACCCGGTCCACATGGCCTTGTGGATGATGAATTATTTTCCACCTTACAACCACTTTCCGCACAGACAAAATATTGCAAGCTTGTTGCTGCCCTAGTGCTATTGCTATGGAAAAATGTTTTGATGAACTGCATTCTTTATTTCCACCAACTTTTACTCTCATAGCTAAGACCCACCATGCCATGTAAACTGACGTGAACCACCCTCATTCCCTTTGTATTCCATTAGTAAGAAGGAATTTGGATTCAAACAGCTTCTTTCCATAAACCGATTCCCAAGAGGATGCTTTTGCAACACCTACAACCTTAACCTCTTCAAGTCTAGGGTTAACTGTTATCATTCCTACATATCCTCATAAACTGTGCCTCTTACCTCTTACTGATCATACAGCAACCTCCTTCTGTAGCCCTCTACCTTGAGTGATCTTGGGCCTTTGTGTAGAGTGAACATTAGTTAAAGGTTGGGAGGGGCTAAAATAAATTTTGAATCAGTATGGTACAAAACTCCAAAAAGATGCTCATGAGAAAAAATTTCTATGTAATTTTGAGATGTTTGTTTAAAAGCAACATGTACTTTGTGTGGTTTATAATAGACTACATGGTGGTCTGAAAGTTTCGTAACCCCCCACCCCTACCAAAAATTAATGCGAACAATAGAAAAACAAGTATGTACTTGGTTCAGTTTATTCACTTTCAATGACACTGTCACATATCGAGAAAGTCTGCATGAACATCATTTTCTTTGCACAAAATGATGCGGTGCCATGTCCTGTGTGATATTTTATAAAGCTGTGCTTTGTTGATTGTTGCAAACTTTCTGAATGGCATCCTTCAACTGATGGGTATTCTGGTATTGTTCATGTGAAACTCTTTGATAATACCCCACATAGTGTTGAAATAAAAAATTATATTATGTAAGAGTGACAGGACTTTGAACCATCCTGTACAATGACGGACCACTTTCTTGACAGTTGAATTTTGTCCTGTGTAAATGTTTTTCCTCACTTGGATTATTAAATAAATATACTCTGAATGGGTATGAGTCATTTGGGTCATTGTAGTTTCCAAGGAATTTCAGTTGTTTGTGCACAATGAACTAAAATTTAAAAATAATGAATTTACAATGTCATATGGGAACAAAAAGTAAAGATAATTTTTTTTCTCTCTCTCTCTCTAATTCTCTCGTTCCTCCTCCCCCAACTTTCTCCCTCACGTGCACTGAGAAAATGTATTATATATCGGTCCTGAACTAGTATGAAAAAAATTTTTAAATCTGAGTTTTTGCTAAGATTCTCTTTGTATGAAAGCTGCTGAGTAAAGGCATGAATCCATTTCTTTCTGTGCACTATTCATTTACTTGAGATCACATTGTAGGTGAATGAGAATTTTGGCAAACCACTCTCCAATAACTATCTTGCTCAGTTTTTAGCTAGAAATATCTGTTACTTGCACCACAATAATATTAAGCAACAGTAAGTGGGAATGTTTCAGAAACCGGTTTCATGCTCATATGAAAGGCTTTAATGTTTTATTTGTCCTTTTTATCCTTTATGTGTAACTTTTTTTATATAATCCCCCCCCGACTAAATCTGAAGAACTCAAAGTTTATATAATACAATGACTGTAATTAAAATTATAAAGATATTAGTCTAAATAATACTTGGGATAAAGAGGAAAAATTACTATACCTTGTAGATGTTTTCTTTACATAACTTATAGGAATTTACTTAGTTTCTGAGAGTTTTTTGTTACCATGATGTTCTGGCTGATCCATTCAACAGCCTTCTTTAGATATACAAATCTAACAAGGAGCTCATCTGTATGTTTTTGTTTTTTTTTTTTTAACAGTGAAAATATCAGCAAACATTGGTCAATTATAGGCAAGAAACTGAGCTTACTTTGGTGTCCATGCAGATTGAATTTTTTATTCACTAGTAGTCTACCAGATGAGCTTGTTAATAATCTAAGTGCTCTTTTTTATTTATTTATTTTTTTTAAATCCATAATGCCACTACGATGCAAGGGGCTACTGTGAGTGAAAGAGAATGAAAAAACTTTAGAAGGAAACAGAAACTCAATAAAAACAAGAAACAAGGGATAAACCTGTACTCCTGTTCAAAAGATTGGAAATAACTTGGTCTTTGATATCATCTCAAAAAATGCACAGAGTTCAATCTGTACTACTGGGTCCTATTCAAAAGATTAGGGAGGAGTCAATCCCTGGCTATAAAAACAAATCTGACACATCTCTCTCTCTCTCTCAAACACATAGAGTACTTAACCCCCACCCACCCATTATTAGACTCCAATTCACAAATATATAAATTGGGTGGGGGCTCTGGCAAAAATGTATTGCCCACCAGAAAATATGAACCTTGCTTGTCATTTCATGACATAAAATCTCCAATGTGATTTTATTTTCCAGGTTGGTGAGGTTCTGAAGGACCGGAAGAAGCGTGGTCAAATCGAATACCTTATAAGATGGAAGAATTTTGGTGCCGAGGAAGATTCCTGGGAACCCGCATCAAATCTACTAAATGCTGGTTCCATTCTACAAGATTATATCCAAAATAAGGCATCTAGAGTAAGCATCAAAACTTTCCACTTTATTCCTGTAAAACTTGAAACTTGTGTGTAAATTTTGTTGATAAAAACATTTCTGTTCTTCTGTCGTTTAGTCAACTTGGCTAGCAAAATTTTATTATTATCATGCATCTGCTGTGAATACTAAAGAAAAGAACACTGGCAAATCAAACATCTGAAGCAATCAGTGCATATGCTAGTCTATGAGGATCTGTTCAATAGACCTAGCATAGAAATAAAAAATCATATGGGTGCCATTATTAAATAAAGAGAAATAGCAGCAAGGCTTCAGCTGCATCACCATGAATGCAGTTAAGCATGACACCAACAGACAAGAAAGAAAAATGTTAACTTTAACCCCTTCCCAACCAATTATTTTGGAAAATGTTTCATTTTCAGGCAGATTTTTTTTATTTGTTTTTAATATAGCAACTAAGAAACTGGGGTAACTTGAAGTACCCGAGTGGTGGCTAACATCTCTACCAGATGTATGAGATGACAATTGTACTCATTTCAAGCTCAGAAGGGCATAAAAATAATCGAGATTGATGTATAAACACCTCTGTAGCTGGTCTTTGAATGTTCAAGTTTTGGATGTGTTTATTCATACATGTCTGAAAAAGACACTTTCTGTAAAAATGTATATACACGTCTATGCCAGGGAAAGAGTTAAGGTGTCAAGTACTAGACTGGATTGTCCTATGAGACAATAACCTATCATTGATTCATGAATTTGGTGACTAATTTTAGGTGACCAGCCTTAACTGAGCAGTACTAAATAAAAACAAAAAATGTCTGATAGTGGTACAGGAATATTTTATCCTTGTAGATTAAGTAAAAAGTTCACTTTGAAAATCCTTGAAGGTTACTCTGGTCAACAAACACCTTAAGAAGGCTGGAGAGCACAACAGCTGAAACATTGATAAAAAAAAAAATGAGGACATAAGCCTGAATGGAAATATTTTTTCATCCCAGAAATTCAGACAGAAATAGTAACTAGTACTGAAGAAGGCTAGAGGACACAACAGCTGAAACATTGTAATACTAACAACAAATGTAAATACCTCTTCATTCCAGAAATTCAGACAAAAATAGTACAAAAAAGTACTGAAGATGGCTGGAGAGCCCAATGGCTGAAACATTGTGATAACAACAAAGATGAGGATATTAGTTCAAATGTAAATAACTCCACATCCGAGAAATTCAGATACAAATTGTTTAAAAGCTTTTTTTTTTTTTAACTAATAAATTAAGAGGCACAGTCCATATAGATTGGTGCCATTTTGAAACAACTGGTTGGTAATGCAGATAGTAATAGATATCAGCATGGATACTGGATTGAGCATACTAAGTTCAATTCCTGCTTGATTCTGTTTCATTCATCTGATACTAAAGTCCATAGAAAAGGCACTAATTCATCTTACTTCAGCTATGGATTAAATAACAGGGCAGATTGGGCTCTCTTGCCTTGAGGTGGCAACCAGTCAAGAAAACTCTGAATTCAAAATCAACCTGTCTATGGCCACATCAGTCTCTATATGATCACCAAAATTAAACAGTCGACCTTGGTTAGTACTTAGATGGGCGACTACTTGGTCATAATTGATCGAGCAGTGACAAGCTTGCTAACCTTGCACCATGCCGTGATAGATATATATATTTTGCAATTCCACATCAAAGCAAGTTTAAGATCGTAATAAAGTTCATGAAACAGGAATAGTGTTCACATGTAAATGAGATACAGTTATGTGGACATAAACTTCAAAGCAAGAAAAAACAAAGATATATATATAGGATTTATCTATAAATTTAGGGAGGGGAGACAGATTGCAACCAAAAGATATTACTAATTTTAAGGTTTTTCTGCTTCAGTTTTCTTGTATCTGAATCTTGATTATTGTGGGCAATACAATTATACCTATCGCTGTATTGTAATTTAGTACAGAAATTGAACATAGAATAGGCTGCACTAAGTGGTAATATTGCCCAACACCAGCAGTTACTACAAAACCAAAACATTAACTGGAAAACTCTAGTCAGGTTTTTAAATAGCCTCGTCAGATTGGGACCTTTATGTCCTGCATGGCACCAAACTTGTTCAGAAATATCTAGACTGTCAGATGTATGCAACTGCTTTCTCAGATCAATGGTTAAAAATGGCCTTGTGTAAGTGAAGCCTGTAGGTTTTGGGGCAAACTATCCTTTGGACCTTGTGGACTGGTGCTACAGAATCACAAAGAACTATAGCAGAAACTGTACCACTTGGACTTTCACCAAGCACATGCATAGCACATGCAACTTGGGAAAATGACCTAATCAATATGTTGACATTCCATTCTACTTCAAACAAAAAGGTAGAAAAGGAATCCCCTCCTCAATCAATACTGAAAAGAGCAATAAGTTACTGGACTTGAGAAACCCTATTTTATAAATTTCAAGCAAAATTATCACTGGTCGATAAACAGTGGATGTTTTAGCTGATATTATCATTAGTATTACCCTTGAAATCTGATCATCTATTCTCTCTTGCTAATAAAATGTTGAAACATAAGATCAGCTTTGGTTTGTTTTTAATGTTCTTAAAATGATTTCTTTATCTTGTAGAAGAGCCGGCGGTCATCTCGATCACGTTCCAGATCCCATTCTCGCACACGAGCCCTTCGAAAGAAAGCAGAGAAAGAGGTTGATTCTCGAGAAAGCACCCCTCTAAAGAAATCATCTCGAGAAAGCACCCCACTCAAGAAACGAGAGCCAACACCAATTAAGTCTTTGGAAACCTCAGCTCCAATTGAAGATCTTGAGAGGCCACCAATAAAGGAGGTTACCCCAGTGTTAGAAGATACCATTGATAGCCCTCCTCTCAAAGTTGTTACAGAGCTTACCAATGAAGGAGTGGAGGAGACGCTATTAACCACTTTCACGTCACAGATTGCAACTGTAAGATTTCTTTATTGCCCTTTTACTATTCATCTTTTACATAATGTTATAAAATATAATAAAATAGTTTCCAGTGATTTTCCCATGTAGCAGAAAGATAATCCTAGCATCTTGCCAAGTAATCTAACACTTGTGTTGAGTTTTTTTTTTTTTTTTTTTTGGCGCATGTTTGTTTTAGAAAAAAGATTAATGAAAATAAAAAAGCTTTCATTACAGTGAAGGTATTTGAAATGATTTTATTTTCATACTAATCAACTAATAAATACAACAAATATAATTTTTTTATTTTTCCTAATTATCATCCTTTTGATCATCATCATCATCCTAATAATAATCATCATCATCATCATCCTAATAATAATCATCATCATCATCCTAATAATAGCAATCATCATCATCATCATCCTAATAATAGCAATCATCATCATCCTCCTCCTAATAATAGCAATCATCATCATCATCATCCTAATAATAGCAATCATCATCATCATCATCCTAATAATAGCAATCATCATCATCATCATCCTAATAATAGCAATCATCATCATCATCCTAATAATAGTAATCATCATCATCATCCTAATAATAGTAATCATCATCAGTTTTGTTATTCAGACTTTCATGTTCATCTTCATTGTTAGACATATTACAAGATAAACATAGTAGATTAAAGCATTGATAAAAACAGCAGGTTACTTGGCAGTTGTGGGTTCCACTTCGTGGGTTTTGTTGTGCTGAAAAATCATATTTTGGTTCAGTGGATGAAACAAACTTGAATAAGACTGGTGAGTGATAACTGATATAAATTCTCTCTCCTTAGCATGGGAAGCAGAATGAGAAATATTGAATCTGTGGTGTCTGGGGTAGACTGTTTTCGATATCCCGTCTTTTTTTAAATTCTGCTCAATTATTGCTTGCTCTATTTCTACCGAGTCTAATCAGCTAGGCCAGGGATTTTGTCCCTTGTCAAACCTAGGTTTAAATGTCTGAAACCTAATCTGCTGATTTCTGCTTGTCATGCTTGACTGTATTCAATAGCCTAGTAGATTGAAGCATTCATTTGTAATGCATAGCAACTCGGAAGGAGAAATCAGAGCTGAGTTTGAATTCCAGTCAGGTTTGTTAGATTCATTTATGCACAAATACCATTGGGAAAGGTATGAATCTTCTCCTCCCAGCTATGGGTTGAATAGCAGTACAGACTGGGTCCTATAGCCTTGGTTGGCAACCAGTCTACTGTAGAAAGAAATGACAACCTATTGCAGGAAAATCTTCTGCCTAGTTGCTCACAAATCGAAAGAGACCTGATCACCCAAGCGTTTATCATGTATGGTACTTAACTGACTGACTATTGTGAGGTGGGGTAGTGCAGACTTAGAATCTGGGTGAGCAGTAACCGAGCTTTACTGAAGACAAGATATCCCTAGACATGAAAAATCTGACTCTATTAAGATTACAAAATTAAAATTATAGAAGAGGTTCTTGAGCTAAGGCTGTTATTCTGTTTTTGCAGCATTTTTAATAGGAAATTTGGTACTGCTCTCAGCAGGAGTTAAAGGTACCATATGCTCCTAAATTGTTGGGATATTGTATATTGTTTAATCTGTATCTCGGGAACACTCGTATATACATACAAGATTAGAGTTTTAGTATTAACTATAGATTGATAGATAGCTGGTAACTTTTGCAGACACCAGATCTAACCACTGATATTTTTAAAGATATTATATAGCCTCATAAAAAGATTGCTTACAATAAAATTCTTCATTAGCGCAAATTGAGTGAAATTGAATATTTATATTTTAATGCACAGGAATATTTTCTATTTCCTCATCAGGTTAAAATTTTTGAACATTTATTAAAATATTTGAATCAAGTAAATTTGACTTTTTAAAGAGAAACTAGAGTATAGTGTGATAAGTATCTATTATGCATAGGTACAAAGTCCATTACGAAGTGGTGGGTCCAAAAGAATAATGAATAAAAAAAACAAAAACCAAACACTCTACCTGGAATCTTTAGTCAATGCTACATAGGGCTGTGTGTACTTCTGACCTCACATTTCTTACTAAAGTTGGGAGTATGCTACCTGGAGGGTGGGTCCTAGTTTACCCAATGAAAGTTGTATTTTGGGGATTATGTAAAAATATTTTGTTAATATATTTCTACTTGTTAAAAGTTCAACTAGTGTATTTTCCCCTCTCCACCATCTTTCTCTGCGGGGTGCCTCTGAGTGTGACTGTTATGGGTCAATGTAGGGCAAAAGCATGATGGCTTAATTAAACTTGTTTCTTTCTTTTTCTTCCTCAAGACTGGAAGAAGTAGCAGGAGAAATTCTCTTTGCCAGCTGAAATTTTTTCTATTTGAAAAATTGGCCCTACTTTGGATGTATGAGCTAAATATTTTCTCTTGTTGCTGGTTGGACAATCTTTTTATACGGGAATTGTTTGTTTTTTGTTTTTTTTTTGCTCTTGCTTTCTTAAATTTGCCTACATCAGCTGAACAGGTTTGTGAGTTCATACAGAAAATTAAAGGACTACAATTATTTTTCTTTCTTTCCATCTCTCTCCATTGTAGGAGACAACAGAAATTCTCACTCCTGTGTCAGAAAGCGTTTCTACAGTATTAACTCGAAGGATGGAAATGAGAGCTGCTGCCAAAGCCACGGAGCTTGAAGAAGAGCAGAATACAATTGAGGAAGAAGTTAAAGAACAAAAAACAACCGAAATAATTAATGAGGAAGAAGTCTCAGACACTTTGGGTTTGGATGGTCCCACTAACACTAAACCAGCTGCTGAAGAGGTGACAACTACCCCACGTCAAAGCCTGATTAATGTCTCAGGTAGAAAATGGCCGATTGTCGTCTTCATTGTGTGTTTGTTGGTTGTAGGTATCAGCTTCTTGGTTGAAAAATACTTCAGAAGTTAACTTCTCATTCCTCATTGATGTAAGTAACTTTTTTTTTTTTTTTTTTTCTTTAATACATTCCTGTAACTTTACTCATACACTGGAATTTCGCAAAATCACTTATCTCGGTTCTCTCAAGACCACTAAAAAAAATAATAGTTGTGATGTTACTTAAAGATTTATCTAATTAAACCAACTTGAATTATGCTAGACATTTTTATACAAATTACTAATATATATATATATATATATATATATATATATATATATATATATTTATTATTTTTTTATATAAAAAATTTATAATATAAAATGTTATATAGGTGATTTTATAACATTTATGTTATAAATTTTTTAAAAAAATAATCATATCTGCTCTATTTTGTATTGAGCACTCTTTTAAGAATAGTAATTGTTGGTGATTGGAATTCATTCCGTATATACCAATTATATACTTGTGTGTGTGTATGTATATATATATATATATATATATATATATATATATATGAAATATAGTCTTAAGGTGTGCTATATTTATGGGATAAAGTGCTCAATATCAGAGAGCGTGTGTAAATATAAAAGTGAGCATAGAAGTCAACACTTAGAGGCGACAGTCTGTTTCATGCTATATCCAATTGTCAGGCCTGACGATTGCATATAGCATGAAACAGACTGTCACCTCTAAGTGTTGACTTCTATGTTCACTTATATATATATGTATGTATGTATAAAAACAAATAAAACAGAAAAAAGTTCAACAATATTCAGGATATATATAACAGATATCCTATGATATCTGCTAATAAATTCAATTAAATTGTTTAACGCTGGTGAGTGGATAGCATCTGTGAAGCCTGAAATCATGAAGATGAGTTTGAAATTTTATTTGTTTACTATTAATACACTATTTCTTAATATTGAGGACTTTACTTAAAAGCAGTATCTTCCAGGAATTTTAGTTATATTATGATGGGTAATAAAAATATAAAATTTGTCACTTAGTTGATTAATGTTATATTCGGCACCTCTACTCTAGGATTTTGTGGATAAACATTTGTGTAATCGTTTGGTTCACTTATCAGGAGGTATCAGCAATATGCACTTTTTTTTATTGGTGTTAGGTTGATTTTTGTGTGTGTGTGTGTGTGTGTGCACATCCTTAGGATGCTGTGGTTATTTCTTCTTTTCATAATTTTATGCTATCAAATAATTTGTATGTATTTTTCTTGTATTTTGATAGTTGATAGAAGATGACTTTTTAAAAAAAAATTGTTTTTAATCATTTTACCCCAACCAAGGCAACAGAGCCACTAACACGCAGGGGGTTTATTGAGAGTGAAAGAATATAAGAAAAACATTAAGAAGCAAAAACAATAAAATAGAATTTAAGAGTACAGAAGATAACTATTGATACTGGATTTAAATTTTTTGAAGAGCCTATAACTGGCTGCCACGAATAGGCAGGAAGATTCTATTGGCCAGCATGAGAGCCAACAGCTGACACGAATGTTAACTAGCATGCAAAAAAAATTGATAGCTGCATTTGTCACAAGTGGGAAAAATTTAAATCTGCATGGCACTTTACTCCAATTGACTCATTCGCTTGCTTAAACTCAACATTGATTCTGATTCCACAGAAGCAAGAAAAACTGTTAGCATAAAACTTAGTTACATCTAGCCATTTTGACTGTAAAATGATGAGACCTTGCTACCAAGCTAGTACTGTGCTTAAATTCATAGTCTAGATACCATAGAGGAGTTAAAATGAAAAGATTTTAAATTGATAACTTTTCTATTTCACTGAAACCGCAGTTAAACACTTCTATCTTCCCATTCTTTCTTTGTAGCCAAATCCCCATCTCAAGATTATTTCTCTTTTAATAATAATTTTAAAAAATAATTCAGCAGATAATTTCATTTATGGTCACAGAATTTTTGGCGATTACCTTACTTGGTTTCCATTGTTTGATACTGTGAGTCTGAAAATAACAAATTTATCACACTCTTCATTACTTCTTCTTGGTCTCTTGGTTGAGATCAAAGTGTAATATCTGTTCTTATTGGCTTCAATTTTATCTTCTCTTTCATTTTCTCACTGAAACCAAGTAGTGTCTTCTCATGCAATCAAAACAGAATAGCCCATTATTTATGAGGTATTGGCAGGGTGTAACAGTCATGCAAACTAACAAAGGGAGGAACAAATGCAGTTAGAACAGTGATTTCATTGTTTTATACTAATGCGTGTATAAAAAAAAATATATATATAATCAGCATTAATAATAAACTGTTATCTCTATCTATAAAAGGCAGGATGTGTGCGTGCGTGTGTGTGTGTGTGTGCATAACGAATGCCCGGCTGCAATTTTCGAGAGATTTACACCAAAATTTACATGCACATGCTCCAAGTTAGTGGGAAGGCCAAGACTGACTTTGCATTTCCCAACTCCCTTCGATAGTGGAAATAATTTTTTTTTTTTCATGATTCTACGGCAGTTTTCATGTAGTTCAGGAGCGCCGTTTTGTACTGGCCAGAGGACTTTTATAGCTGGCTAAATAAAAATAGGCAGGAAGATTCTATTGGCCAGCGTGAGAGCCAACAGCTGACTAACACGAATGTTAACTAGCATGCCAAAAAAATTGATAGCTGCATTTGTCACAAGTGGGAAAAATTTAAATCTGCATGGCACTTTATTCCAATTGGCTCATTTGCTTGCTTAAACTCAATGTTGATTCTGATTCCGCAGAACTGGGTTGGGTGAAAAAATATTTAACTTTTTTTCATTCGGTTTTTCCAGTTACAAGTCCTTTTTTAAAGCTGGTCGTTCTGTGTTCATTTTGTTTAGTCCTTTTTTCGTAACAGATTTAATGTTTAGTATAGAGCTTAGAAAAAATTGGCAGTGTGAGATAGGCAAGAAGTAAGGCATGTAGCAACATCAGCACGGCAAAGGGCACTCCTTTAAAGACAAGGAAGGGCAAAAATATTTTAAGTCAAGTGATAGCGATTGCTGTACGAGTCGTATGATTTTTGAATCAAGCACAGGCAATGCCGGGCCATGCTGCTAGTCATTATTATGCAGCTAGATCCTTTTGCATGTTTTTCCTTATCTTTCTCAATGTCATCAGTTCTCAACTAGATATTTATGCTGATGACACTACTATTTACTCCTGTCTTAATAGTAAGTTCAACAAGTAAAACTGGCAGCTGCATCCAAAAATGATTTCCAATCAGTTAACTGGGGCAAGAAATGGCTTGTAAATTTGAATGCCTACGAAACAAAGCTGTTATATTTAATCCTCATAGAGAACTCATTTTACCTTCCATCAGCATTGCTGATGCTAACTTCCAGGTGAACAACTTGCACCATCTTGGTCTCATGTTTTCCACTGACATGAAGTGGAGTGATTATATTGAATCAATTGCTTGGTCTACTGCTAGAAAATTTGTTTCAATGTGTTATATAATTTCTCTTGCCTGAATCCATCTTACACACTTAAAAATCTACCATTTGTTTGTGCATAGAATATTGCTGCCATATCAGGTCTGGTGCTCCTGTTATATATCTCAAGATTCTCTATAAAATCCAAAGAATTTTCTGCAATGTTATCTGTTCTGACCTGCCATCTGAGCTTCAGTCCATTTCCCACTGTTGTGACGTGGTTTCTCTCTATCTTTTCTATAAATACTTTCATGGTAAATGTTCTCATGAACTCTCCTCTATGGTACCTAGACTCTATGAAAATATTTTTAATGGCAATTTTAATGAGCTCTCTATCTTGGTACCTTGGCCACATGAATTTAAGTGACGTGACTTGAAATTGAGTTGTCAGCTTTATATTTAAAGAAAAAAAAATAACATTTAGCACACTATTTCCATTTTTAAATAAGGTGAGATTAATATGGGTGGCAGATGTTTTATGTAGAGGGCTCCTTTCACCATATGATGTTTCCCATTACAAGAATTATGAAGGATGAGCATATATATATATATATATATATATATATATATATATATATATATATATATATATATATATAGCTCATGATTGTAAAATAATTGATTTCCTGTCTCACAATTTGAACTTTTGTTTAATAATAATGAAGAAGTGTGAATTTATGACCTGCATCAGCTATTCCATGACCATTAACGTCACATAGCAATCTTCTATGTCAGCATGACAGAATATCATCTTTGATGGTCAATATCTTTGTTTAAATGTAACCACTCTGAAGATGGCTCATGTGAGCCAAATCCTTAGATCAAGGAACAATATATAATAATAAAAAAAAAAAATATCCAAATATTGGACAATTTTTGTCTATTCTCTCCTGAAATTAAAGCAAATATATGGAGTTTAGAACAGCTCATGATCAGATATAACAGACATTTATGTTATATTTAACGTTTGAATAATGATCGTGTGTGTATGTATGTATATATATATATATATATACACACACACATACATATTTGTATAAGAAATATTTCCAAGAGGATAGAATCCAGGTAGAACTCAATGTCCAGGACAGAGTAAATGACCATGGAATATTAGTGTTTAAGTCTTTTTATATATATATATATGAAGTTGGGGAAACAAATATTCATATACATACAAATTTTTAATTTATTGTTTTAATTGATTTAATAGAAATAAATCCCATTTATCCATTTTAATGGGTGAAAAAAGTATTCATACAATGCAAATTTCAGAATTTAAGACTTTTAAATTGCTTTAATACTCTAGATTATTCAAGTGGAATGTTCTAATAATAATATCAGTAGTTATTATTATTATTATTTGTTTCCCCCGTGTGTGTGTGTGTGTGTGTGTGAGAATACATATATATGTGTCTGTGTGAATGAGAGTAAAAAATATAAAGCCAGCTATCAAATAAGATTTTAAAAAAAATTGCCACTGATAACTCTTGAGATTCCCTGTTAGAGATAAATATATCAATCTACTTTACAGAATACTTTGTTTAGAACTAAATGTCTTCTTTATATACATTTTTATCTTTTTAAACTTAAATCTCTATTTGATACAGGAAGTAGGTAGATATTTACTGAATGCTAAATTTCATTGACCACTAGTCTACAAATGTGCCTCCTGTAGTGAATAACTCTAGTGAATGTTCATGGTTAGCTGTGTGGTGGATCATTTTTAATGTCCCTTTTCATTTTTGGAGTACTATGAATGATTTCCTCTCTCGTTATTAAATGCCTTATTGAAATTAACTGTTTTTTAGTCATACTATATCAAACTCTGGCCATGTTGAAATCCATTTTTTTTTTTTTTTTAATAGATAGTGGAGACAGTGGTTTATAGATAGAAACCTATAATCTTCTATATACTGTGTCCCTTCAGGGCATTGATAATCATGGCTATCCACAATTTCCTGTTTATTAATAACTTTTGTCTTTTTGAGATCTCTCCAAAACCCCGTTCCATGATACATTTACTTGAGCTCACCAGATAAGTTGTGTGTTGCTTTCCTCTGGCCCACTTACTTTCAATCTGTCCTGTGAGCATCAGATTTTCTAAGCCCTCTTTCCTCATGCATCCCAGAAATTTCAGCTGTCTCTTCCTGATGTTAAATATAATTGTCCTTTTTGTTTCCATCTTCTCTAAAACTTCCTTTGCTCAATCTATGGTATTCCAGCATCATTTTATAAAACCACATTTCTATGGATTGAGGTCTCTTCATCTGTGAAGAGATTGTCCAGTATTCACTGCCATATAGGAAGACTGGTACTACATAACAGTTCAGTACAATTTTCTTTGTTTCTAATGATGTTTTTCTGTTTCTTCATACTTTGCTTATTTTTTGGAAGGCATCTTTTGCTATTCCAATGTATCTTCAGCACACTTTCCTTCCTCTGTTAATACAGATATCTAAATTGTTTCACTTGTTTGATTTTGGTATCTCCAATTTGCATGTTGGGCTGTTCCTTTTGCTAACAACGATGCATTCAGTCTTCTTGCAATTGTACATTCTTCTTGCTTTTCCTTCACTATCTTCTGTAAATGTTCTTATAGTTACCTTTCTCTGTTTGCTATCCAAACTGTCATCAACAATGTTGTTAAAATTGTGTCTGTCAATAATGAATCTTGGTAGGACTTCTAATTCCCTCAACGGAAAAGTTCTGGAAAGATGCATCCTTGTCTTACACTCCTTTTTATTTTTCTATATTTACTGAACTCATTTCCTATCTATATGCAGGTGGTTTGTTACCAGTAAAGGTTCTGAATTATTCTAATATCCTTTTCAAATATGTCCAGATTACCTAGCAGTTCTTTGTGATGTACTTTATCAAATGCTTTTGTATAATCTCTAAAACATAGACATATATCCTTTTCCATTTGTTGAATTTATATTTTAATTTTTATAATTAATACCATATTTTATGAGCATCCATGTTAATTGAATAAAATGGCTTTACAGTTTAAATTCGGAAAATAGGTGTTTTTTTTTTTTTTTTTTTTACACCAAAGTTTTAACAACTATTCATTCTCAAGTATTTTATTTGCTCATGCCATCAAAAATGGCATTTCATTTTAATCCTACTTTTATTTTCTGTGTGAGTAATCTAGGACAAGAAAGAAAGATTTTTTTTTTTTTTTATCCAAAGAAAGCTAATGCAAAACAAAAAAATTAAAAAAAAAAAAAATCAATTAGCAGCCTGATCTCTCCAACTTACTAATAAACATTCTGTCATTATGTAATAATGTGAGGCATGTTGGCTTATCTGCATAAAGTAGTACTTCGATAAAAAAAAATATTCAGTACTTGCCCTCACATTTCTATTTCCCCCCCCCCCCCTACACGCATATATAATACCATCAGTAAAAATATTACTTTAGGCCACTTAAGTCCTGGAGGATGAAACATGTTACACAGAATTTTTCCACTTTGTAATTTAGTTGCCTAATATTGTTCTGATATGTAGCAATTTATGTATATTCTCCTGTGTGTGTGTGTGTGTGTGTGTTTTTATTTATTATATATATATATATATATATATATATATATATATATAAAAAGATAATCAGACAGTATACGTGCATGCTTAGGTGCATGTGCTGGTAAGCAAATAATTACCAAATTTAGCAAAGAGGTGTAGACATAATAGTGCTCAATGTGATTAGACAGAGCTAAAAAAAAATATATATATATTAATAGGTACACATATACCTACGTTTGGTGTGTGACTAGTTTCATTGGTTGCTCAACTCTTCAGCCACAAGATATAACTTATTGTTTATTTAAAAAAAAGTATACAGATGCTCATGGGATGGATGCTGGTTCATAGTTCAAAATTAAAATAACATAAAAATAGTACCAAAGTAATACTGGGCTTTCAGTGCAGAAAATGGGATGTAGATAGGAGTCAATAAGAGAAAGGGGGGGTTGAATTACGCTTAAAATTTAATATTTGAATGATGGAAAAAGTTTGGCTGGTTAAAAGGGAGGTAGATATAGGATCATGTCGTTTAGCGAGTGGTCAGTGAGTTAATGCCTTATTTAATCTGTTATCAAAGTGAATTTGCCATTAATTACATTAACTTTATTGATTTATTCTTTGAATGACTATGATATTAAGCTACATATATAATTAATTTCAAATATAGGTGCAGTTCAATTTATAATTACATGAATCATTCATACAAAAAACAAATATAGAAGTTAATGATTTAAATGGCGAGAATACATCTTCGCAAACAATTTTAATAAAGTTTAATTAAATAATTAATTGAACAATATAGTTAATGGCATGAACTATATTGTTCAATAATTAACATTATTAATTAATAATTAATTGAACAATATAATTCATGCCACATTGACTGCAAAAACCTACCAGTACAATAGAATTCTCCTATTACCGTATTAGTACAAAAACGCACAATCTTAAAATTTAAAATTCAAACTCAGCGTTGCGACCGCATGTTCCAAAACAATAACACATTTCTAAAAGCATTTTTTCAGATTACATCCGTATTTTTGTTATCCTGTTATTACCGAGAAGTAAAAAACAAGAACAAATTTATTTCCATACCTGAGGATGTCTGTAGGAACAGACAAAAGCTTGTAAAACTAAAAAAGACCTAATGCAATTGGAATTTATAAACAGGGATCATATCGTTCATATACAGGTTCGGAGTTAGTGTACTTTATTAAAATTGTTTGCGAAGATGTATTCTTGCCATTTAAATTATTAACTTCTATATTTGTTTTTTGTATGAATGATTCATGTAATATATATATGAGAGAGAGAGTATAAAATGGGCTTGGGAACCCCACATTAAATGTGGCTTGTGCCAGTTGCTAGATACTCTAGTAAAAAATGGACAATTATTTTAATATATTTTCTGTTTATATGTTATTTTTATAGATGCAATTATTTAAGTAAATGCTCTTTTTATGATAAACAGTATTAATTACTTTTACCAGCATGAATGCCCAAGAAATTTTGTTTAAAAACAGTAATTTGACTTTGCTAACCAGGAACTTCTTCTGTATCTAAATGGTATAGCACGTCAGGCCAAATGATGGCTCTATGTAGGATACAGTTTCAATTTCTGCCTGAAGACATATGTTCTACAAAATTTCTTAAACATTCAAGCCAGTAAATGTAATTAATACTGCTTATTATAAACAGTGGTTACTTAAATAATTGTATCTATAAAAATAACATATAAACAGAAAGTATGTAATGTATGTCGCGTAATGAATTAATTGTACATATACATATGCAATCATATATCTAAAATATATAAATATACATACATACACATACATATTCCCAGAGTTGTTTTTTCTGTTTTCTTTTTGAATTTGTTGGTCTAATGAATTAGATCGTATTTATGATTCCAATGGAATAAATTATGACCATGGAATATTAGTGTTTAAGCATTTTTTTTATATATATATATATATATATATATACACACATGTGCATTTCATTAGAAACAACTGACCAGGGTACTGCAGTTACTTTCTTTGTCTGCTAGGTCATGTAATTTAATAATTATATATTTGGGAAGAAGTTTTGCCAGTTGTTTTTTTTTTTTTTTATGAAACTTGTATTAAAAAAAACCCCCCCAAAAAAACGAATTGCTGGCCAAATACATAATTATTAAATTACATGACCAGTTAGCAAACAAGGAAAGTAACTAGTAGTGTTTTATAAGTCGTTTTTAACAAAACTTTTATAAAAGAAGGATTGTTGACCAAATTACAATTCTGTGTATGTGTTTGCGAATGTCATGAGCCAGCTGCTCGCTATCCCCCCAAAAGTAGTTCCAGGAATGCTTCTATCAGTGGAAACAATGCTGGATAAAATGTGTTGATTCAGAAAGGGACTACTTCAAAGGAGATTAAATGTTGAATTGATATGTGATGTAGTTTTCTTTTTATAGCACCAGTGTGAATACTTTTGATCAGATCATGCTTATATGATTTAAAATCTTATAAATAATTTTTGAAAAATGTACTTAATAGTAATATATGAAAAATGTTTTGTAAAATAACTGATGGGTTTTTGTTTTTTGTCTTCTGTAAAGCGGTGAATTTACAGACCAAACTGGACCTCCCACTACACCCCTTGATAAAATTTTATCTAAAAACGAAAGTGTTTTTCATATTTGTGATCTAGTGTTTAATCTGATAAACAAATTTTAAAAAAATGATTTCTATTCTGAAACTTAATTTTTTTTTCTCTCTCCACACTTATTATTACAACTATTACCAAACTTCTGATATTTTTTTATTTTTTTTATTTTTTTCAGATGGCAAAATATTTCTCAGCCATTTACACTTCTCCATGGATAAAACCCAGACTTTTTCATCTTTGTTTTGGTTGGTGTTTCTTCCCTCATCTATAGTGATGGACCCTGTTGTGGACCAAGTGTGGTTGACTGTGTGAATGCATGAATGATTGTATAATTATCAGTGTCCTCCAATTCTTTAAGAAACATTTACATTTCAGAGCTCTCAAACACACACACACGCACACACAGTTCCTAGAAAGTAAGTTAACCATATAATCTGATTATAAATCTCCAACAGTCACTTTGAATTATACCATTTTTCAACTAACAGAATCACCTCACTAATACAACCATTTATTTAAAAAAAATTTTTAAAAATAAAGAAGCCGGTTTTTCTAAACTAAAATATATATACATATAAAAGATGCATCCCTCTTTTCTTGATTCAGACCATAAAATGCATTAATCATAATTGCCTCCTTTTTCTTTTTTTTAATCTTTTTTTCCCCGTCCCCATCTCGTCATATTTTCTCTTCCCAATACTTTTTCCCCAATTTTATGTTTGAGTGGTGAGAGAAAAAAAAAAAATAAACATGTCTGAATTTTTAGTAAACACTTCTTAACAGCTTATGATTGTTTAATTTTTCAAGGATAGTTATTTTAATATCGACAATTTAATAATAAACAATGTACATGACACATTAATTTTGGCTTGTTTTTTTCTTTCCTGTCACCCTGATCTTTTGCTTGAGTTTTCAGTGTTTACAAGAAAAAGTAAGCCTCTCTTCATGTTTCTTGTAGTGAAAAAATTTGTCAGAATTTTCAACAATTTCAAAAATATCTTAACAGATTTTCGCCCACAAATTCTGCTGTTAAAAAGCAGATATTAACTAATATCAATTTGAAATTCATTTTGAATTTTTATTTAATATTGGATTTATTAGTAACGTTCCACTTGGAGTTGTCTCCTCTTAATCCTAAAATAATTTATTAGACGTCTGTTTTGTCTTCAATTAAGATGAGCTTCAGTAAATGTCCCATTCAGTAATAGATTTGCCTACCAGTCGCCTGACCATAAACAGTTGGTTATGTCCCCTAGGGGCTGATACACTGTGCATCTCTGTTCATGAGCAGTAGGAGACCAGGGAGCATCCTAGCTGGGTGTTGAAATGGGGGGGGGGGGTTAAGTTTGAAACATTAGGCAGCCAAGGCAACTTGAGTAACATCTAGATAATTGGGTACACCTTCAATCAGATACTATATGAGTGAACCTTGTGATTCCACCTGAACATATTTGTAACTACTCCACCCCCAGAAAGTTATTTGCTACTTTTATCAAAACTTGTCACCATATCATGCGGGTTTGGTTTTGATACCTAGTATGCCCCTATAACATTAGGGTGTCATGAAATATATACACACATACACATTACTGATGAAAAGTTTGGGACCACCCTGAATTTTTTTCTCTAAGTTAATATAAAAATTCCTTCTGTCTGCCACATTATTTGACAAAATTTTTGTTTTGCAATAAGATAATAATCCAAAACACTGGTCAAAACTGCACAAATTATTTAAAATCAAAGGAAGGTAAGGGAATTTTTTTAAATTATGACTCCCCGAAGTCTCCAACTCTGATTGAACTAGCCTGGAACTAAATTGATCATAAACTACCTAAGAATAAGCAAAAATAGTTTATACATTTACACATGGCTTGGGAATCACTTCCACCAACATATGTTTACAAGTTACTAGAAAAGATGCCAAGAATTTGCTCTGCAGTAAATGCTCATGGTAGATAAGAATCTACCATGGGCATTTATAACTAATGAAAAGAAAATATCAATTTGCTTTAATTGAAATTAAATTTATTCTATATTCATTTTGATTTAAATAATTGCATGCAAACAGAAAAAAATAAATTTATTTCTTAAAGACATTAAAATTAATCTTTGATTTTTTTTTTTTTTTTTTTTTTTTTTTGCCGTCTTAAAAAAAAAAAAAAAAAATGTGGTCCCAAACTTTCGGTTGGTTGTGTGTGTGTAATTTACTTCAGTGTCATTTTGTTAGCTTGCTACTCCCTAACAAAACATTTAAAAAATCTTATAGAAATTGTGCTCTCTGTCAGGGGTCGAAACTGTGTCCCTCTTCAAGGGGAGAAAGGTCCAGCATGCTTTACAATTAGGCTACAGAGAGCATTACAGTTCAGTAAGGCCCTATTTAGAAATTGCTTTGTTTTTATTTCAGATATTGAAACTGACCAGACAAAGGCTTTCTGAAAATATCTAAATAAGGAAGTGTGCTTTCCTTAAAATGGAAAATAAAACCTTACTGAACTGTGACACTCTCTGTAATTAAATGGTAAAGCACCTTAGTTCAAACAGTTTTTTCTCTTAAAAGAAGGGACACATGTTCAATCACTAGCAGAAAGCGCAGTTTCTATATTAAGATTTCTCAGATGCACAGGTCAATACACATTGTTTAAAATAAAAAATAGTGCATCTATTTCAAATATGAGTATCAACTATAACATTTGCAGTAATAAAAAAAGAAGTGTGTGTGTGTATATATATATATATATATATATATATATATATTTTTTTTTTTTTTTTTAAGACATTTTTATGTTTAACATTTTTCTAGATACAAATATTTAAGTAAATGCTCTGTTTATAATAAACAGTATTAAATAACATTTTCCGCCCTGAATTTCAGAGAAATTTTCATATGACGGTTCCGTATAGGATACAGGTTCGAATCCTGTCAGAGGACGAATATTTTCTATGAAAATTTCTCGGACATTCAGGCCGGTAAATGTTTACTTAAATATTTGTATCTATAAAATGAATGTTAAACATAAAAATGTCTTAAAATAATTGTCAAACTTTGTCCATTTCATAATAGATATGTATATTTATATTATCATTTTAAATGTTATTTTTAGTGGACACTTTGAGTAGATGCTCTGGTTCTTTATTAAACAGTATATATATTTATTTACATTCGAGACATAAAGAAAAAATATGGGTCCTTGAGCAGGATTTGAACCTGCCTCCCCTGGACAGAGGGAACCATTGTTAAATCCAATATGCTTTAAAAGACTCTACCATGAAGAACTTTTGCTGCTCAAACAGAATCTATGACAAGGATTTCGTTTAGACACTATTTGGCCTTGCTTAAGCAAAGGTTCATGTTCAGTCAGTTAAAGCACTTTTCTGATCTAATGATTGTTCCCTTTGTCCTGGGGGATGCAGATTTGAATCCTGCAGGAGAGTGCATATATTTCTTTAAAAAAGATTTAATATTGATTCAGGCCAGTAGATGAAAATAAATCTTTTAACTCTTTCACTGTTGGAAAGTTATCTTTTGCAACTTTGACAAATAAAACTTCAATCAAGCTCATAATCTTATTATATCAGTATTATTACAGAAGAAAAAAAAAACTAATTTGCTTGGTGGATGGACATAGCATTCCAATATTTGCTCAGAGGCAAAACAAAATTATCTCACAGGTTGTAGGTTTTTGTACCTTTTGATTTTGAACCAATTTGTAACACTGGAAAAAACTTCTACAGTATAACTACCTTCAATTCCAATTGTGAAATTTTAATGTCATTATTTTTATGGGTATATTCTACTATTAAAAATAAATTCCTTCGTTTGATGATTGGCAAAAAAAAAAAAAATGTTAAATATTTGCTTGTTTTATTGAAATATGTAAGTTTTTAAAGCTAGACGCAGGAGATTTGCAATATGGAGCTCGATAATTTAAAGATTTGAACGAGGCAAAAGGAAAAATGTCATCTCCATTTCAACTATATACATTTTATTGTCAACGTAACTGCTGCCATTATTCAATACATTGAAAAATCAAGTACTCGGATAGGATACACCTCGGCTAATGCCACTAAAAATAAAAAGAATGAAAATAAATTTGTAAACAACACATACGATGTAGGGGAGATAACTCCCCACCACCACCACCACCACCATATAGTTTGGGTTTATGAAATAACGCTTAAAAAACCAGTTCATGAATTCGCCTTGAAATTTAAATCAGTTGTCCCTTGAATTCGTCCTTCCACGAAATACCATAGAAATTCATTGCAATCTTTCTGGTTTTTTTTTGTTTTTTTTTTTAAATTATTGTCTGTATTTTTCATTTACTGGGACATGTATTATGTGCAAACATGTAGAAAAGAAAGGTGAGATTTTTCTCAAATGTTGATGTTTTTATTTTATTTTTATTTTTTAAATCCTATTCTAAGCGGCCTCCATTTTGACTGAAGAGGAATGGGGGAAGTAAAGGAATGAATAAGGGGTTTTTGGAGATGAAGTGACAACAAAACTGAAAATAGGATGTACCTGAGTGCTGGACTATAGGCGGTGTAATGGTTAGCAAGCTTGTCTCGCTAGAACAATTATGACTGAGTAGTGAGTTTGATCATCATTGGGTGCCCCCTACTTTCAGCTTTGTGCCACATCTAAGCTACACTTGGAAAATCATTAAAGTCATGCTTGGAATTGGGTGTCTGGTCTGCCTCTGGCGAGAGGCTGACTTGTCCATCACGTGGTTCCAATGCCACCACTGCATATTACCAGCCACACCTCTGGATATGGTGATGGGTGAAGAAGAGCTGATCTGTGATCAACCTAGAAGTTGTCCAAACCACCAAGATTAGCAAGCGAAACCCTAAATAAAACGGAATTTACATTCTAATTTCTCCTCCACGTGGCAATTGTCTTTTATTTTGTCAGCATGCAGCACGCCCAATCTCGGATTTTGTGAACCGAAATGCATTGTGGGGTAATCTTTGGCTGAGTGGGGAGGTCGTGGGGGGTCGCATTGTATGTTTATCGATCTGTTTTTGTTCATTGTAAACATAAATGAATACATAAACCTCTGTCTAATTTTTGTTGGTAGTTAAAAAATAGTTCTTTTTTTTTTTCTTCAAATAAAGATCATACTGCTTTGAGTGAAAAATAGTTTACATCATAAACATGTACAAATTTTTTTGATTTTTAAGAACAAAGAAATTTAAAAGAGAAAAATAATTACATTTACAGATGAATCCTTATAAAATTAGCCTCAAGGGGCTGAATAGTTTAAGAAT